GCGCGCATGAAAATTATATTAAAAAATACAACGTACGTGAGAAAATTGTCATAAAAAAAATATTGTAAATAGAAATGCGTTAGATTTTTATCCTGCCACGTGTTCAATTTTTCTTACACGTCTGAAACTTGTGAGCTTCAAATTTGACTCAAAAATCCATCTTAAATAAAAAATGTTTTATCGGTAGACCCTATTATTAATGCCATTTCAAAAATATTAATCTCTAGTTAATTCTATCGATAAAATTAGACTTTTTTTACGAAAAAAAAAAGTATTAGAATGGAATTACAATAAAATTTAGCAAAATTTAAAGCCCGTATAATTTCAGAATATAAATAATTTATTTGTACTTAAAGACCTTCGCCAATAGGCCTGTTCGTTTTAGCCGAACTTCTTGCGCAGTTTATCTTTTCTCTTTTTCTCTCTAACGTGTTAAAAAAAAAAAAAAAGAAGAAGAAGAAGAAAGATGAACCGTGCGAGAAGTTCGGCTAAGACGAGCATACCTATAGATAATACAAAATCAACAGTCAAAAAAAAAGTAGAAGCAGAAATAATCTAACCTCAAAAAAGCAGGAGATCGAGGATGCGTTAGAATTTCGTTGAGTCGGAAAAATTTACAAAAAGCCAAAAGAAGATGGTCTTCTCGAAGGCACGAGAAAACGTGCAGGCGGAACGAGAAAAAAAAATGGGATATACGTTCGCGGCTTTTCCGCGCAAACGCAAAGGCTTACATAGAAAGCTGACGCAACCGGCAACATCCAAAACGCGGATGCAACTTCCGTTAAAATATCGTTTCGCAGATTCTACCGATTTGCGACAAATCTATCCGAAACTCGAGGTTCACGCGTGGGTCGGACGCACGCTGTTGGAAATAGGTTAGGGCGGTAGCTGAGACGGAAAGATTCCAAGATTTCTTTAAGCACGGAACAAAGAAACGCGAGCACGAGCGAAGAGAAAAGATATTAATGTTATCTGCGAAGTTTTATCCGTTTAGTCTTACCTGGCAACGTATCTCCATGAAAATGTACAAATTTCACGTGCCGAAGCTTCGCCCTGCCGCGGATGCCGCCGTTGCCGGTGGTTGCCGGTCGCGCAATCACCGTATATCCTCGGATCTCGGATCGGATATCGGATTGCTCGGAATGCTCGGAATGCTCGGATCCTTCCTTCCACCTTCTTTTTGCTCCTACCACTTACCAGTCCTACTTCCTACTTCAAGGACGGTATATGGCGCTCTGACGATGTTTCTTCAGCAGACCTCTATGGCGTATGGCGTATTCTTCTCGAAGGACGAAAGGAGAAACGAGACTGCACTCAGCACTACGCAACGTCGAGAGAGGGAGGGGAAATTAGACAAAAATGTGCTAAACTTACATCCATGTTTTAAGCGGATTGTAGATAAGACAGAGATTTCTAGCTTACTTTTATCTGACGATCGGCGAATAGCAAAAGTAGAAATTATTCAAAACTTTCGAATACGTGAAGCAGGGCTAGCAACATCGGCCTATCTCCTCGAGTCCTCACCGCGGCTTGCCGGCGCATTTCTATTGAGCGTTTTCTACTGGGAAAACGGGTGCAACACTGGTGCACCAATAAGTGCAATTTTTAAGGCCTGTTCGTTTTATGTCCATTTCTAATTTTAAAAATTAAAAAACGATAATATTGATGATGATATGCATATAAAAAGTAAACCGAGATTAAAGTTAATCCATGTTGGCAGAAATAGACATTAGCTTGTTGTACAGTTCATTTTTCTTCTTTTTCTCGCGAACGTGAAAAGAAATAAAAGAGGAAAGAACTGCGCAGGAAGTTCAGCTAAAACGAACAGGCCTTTATATTGTTCCAATGTAAAAATCAGTTTACATTTTTTTTTCAGTGTGTTCAATGTTCTATTGACAAAAATTTGTCAAATTTTGAAATAATATTAAAAAATTTCCATCAGGCTCGAGAACTTTTCCCCTCAATATATAGTAGGTGTCTAGTTCCCTCGACATGCCATATATTTCAGTGCTTTATACAATTAATCAATAGTCATTATATTTAGACAGAAAACATTCATCTTGGGCATGTTCTGATAAGCGTACAAATTATATATAATACTTATATTATATATTATACTTAGATATAAGAAACGATTAAAAAGCTGTTATTCACAGATTTAAGATAAGAACAATACTAGAAATAGTGATAAGATTTATTGTTATATTTCGTGGTTGTATATAAGATATATTTACCCCGCTATTTCAATTCTAATAATAATGGCTGTTAACAATAACAATAATCACAAAAATTTACAAAAAAAAATAACATTTTACAATATTGAATTTTTGTGCTTTATCTTTTAATTTTATTCCCGGAGTAATATATTATTTTCATAAAAAGTAGCTAAGTTAAAATAAAGATATATACGAACTTTAATATTTTCAAAATTAGTGAGATTAGATTTACTTCTTCTAGTTTCTAAATTATTGATTTACCAATTTATCTTAATATATATGATACGATTAATTTAAAATAAAAATATAAAAGAGTTTATATTTAAAAAGTTGATTTTTTTAAATTCCTGCTTCTTATAAAAATTAAATAAAAATTAAATAATTATATATATAAAAATATGTGTATATAAGAATATAAAGGATAGAAGGAACGTAAATAATTATAAGATCGTTATCTTTCGGATCTAATTTAGATTAAAAATATGAAACTATTCCTATTTATTTTTTTTTAATTAGCTTTCATGGCGAGACTAAATTTTTGTCAGTCTCTTTAATTTCGCAGACGTCTTTGAGATGTCTTATTCTTTTACTCTCCATTCGCATCAACGTGAAAATTATTTGCGTAATATGAGCGTAGACGCTATTAACAAATGCACGTGCTTAAAATAATGTCAATGACCTAGATTATCTTCAGGCACTCGTGTTATTATCGTTTTAAAGTACTTGGACAACATGGAGAATAAAGCAACAGTGAAGAAGCAATTCTCTTTTCGGGCCGTCACGAATAAAACTTTCAATGTCAATATATATTTTTCTTTTTTATAGGCAATTTGTGCTCGTAAACTTTCAATATTTTAAAACCAACATTAAGGGAGATACAAAGAGACGCCACGTAGAGCATGCAAGGTTTCATCGCGGACATCCTGAAGTTTATTAGACTTCTTTTGTATCGATTTTGCAGGCTCGATACATCATATATATATTTATGTATCAGGTATGTATTTGTACATTAATTATTCCTACGTGAATTCTATTTTCGAATCTTTCACAGCGTATTCATTCTAATTGCCTAAATTATTGGTAGAAGAGTTTGCTCGATATAAACATTTGATTTTTATTTTATGTAGCCTAAATTTTTTTTTAAATCAACAACTTGTGAGCTTATGGACTTGCAGGCTTGATGGCAGCTATCAGATATGTCGTTTTAATCAATAATTATACGTCGAATTTGGGAACAGGCCCGTTGGCTCCTTTCGATAACTGGTAATATCTATGACAAACAACAAGATTGTTATAACAAGTGTTCTTATCTGATAGGCATGTCCGTCGATTGCTTCTCCTCTTTAAAGACTTATTGTGAAATGAAAATGTCAATACAATTATGTCATATGCATTCAATCCAGGCAATTAAAAGATCAAGGAACATGTCTGAGAATGTATGAAAGATCAGAACATTTTTTAAATATCTTGTATAATGTCATGTCACTTAAATGTTCTTCTTCCATATAAAATTAGGCTTAGAAACGATTTTTAAGTTATTATTTCTTAGATTACTGCCGTTACGGGATAGTTCTCGTCTTTTGCGTTTCTCTTAAGCTTTATAACTTATACGAGATAGAGATTGCACTTGAGCCTTGAGCGTTCACTTCACGTCCTCAACACTCGTGTCTGTAACGTTTAATCGGAGAAAAAAAAACGGTCTACCGTCAAAATATATTTCTCGCCTACATGATATCATGTCATCGTCTTTGATATTACAGTCTCAGATCAAATTGCATTTGCCGAAAGGCCTAAATGAAATAGTACCTATAATGTCTCCCAATTAAAAATAATTATATAAATTATTATAATGAGATAAATATACGTGAGTATAAAAATCGACAAAATATTTTTCTAAATACATATTTTTCTGATAAATATAAATAATTATTACTTATATAAGATGCATATATTAGATTTATTTGTTTATATATTTATTATATAGTTTATATTTTAGTAATTTTCATAATATTTACAATGTTCAGTGTCAGACACCAATTCGAAATTTCAGTTAAGCCAGTTTACAATAACAAATCAAGGATAAAGATATAAAAGAATTGTTAAAAAATAAAGATATAAAAAATAAGTTTTTCTCCAAAATTAGTAAAACTAAACGGAACAAAATAAAAATAAGGTTAAAGTTATAAGAAATCGAATAAAATGGAGAAGTTACAAAATTAGATTATTTTAAACCCTCATTTTGGCTTTGTAGATTTTACTATTACAATTCTAACAAAATAAACGAAGTACAATCATAAACGGAAAAAGTATAAAATTTCCAAATCTTTCTTACGTTATCAATGCTCGAATTATTTTCAAAATATTTGATCGAACAGTCATATAGCCAAACATTACGGCCAGATATAACACGTCTGTTTATCACCACACCGCTAGATACGCTTCTTATAAATAATTTAAATTTTAAATGTAAAATTAATTACTGCAGAGATAAAAAAATGTAAAATCTATTTTCGTGTCATCTTTTTTACACCTGTCAATAAGAAACTTCATGATCGTTTTATGTATTAAAAAATCTGTGATCACGATTGATCATTGCGGATACATTCTCTCATCCTCTGACGTGACACCAACGAGCTGACGTGCCTACTTCTCTCCGACGGAATCCCGCGTACGTAGTGACCGCCGTTGTACTGCTCGACAATGAAATGTTCCGGGAAACTTTGGAGAAATTCCACTAAATTGGAATAACCAAATAGACGATACGGTATACGGGTGTTCTCCGCATTATAATAGTCTCTCTCTAGAAGCGGTACAGCTGTGGCGCCATTTCGGGAGAGCAATAACGCCTGGATAAGCTGGCGGATCTCTTCACGTTTCTCGGCCTTGCTCATCCTTGAAATCTCTGTTTGGATTTATAAAAAAAAAAATTTATTATCATCTCCTATCGTGAAATCAAAACGCTCATAAAATAAAATAAAATGTTATATTTAATAAAATTTTAGAGAAAGTATGTTGATAAAGGGAGCGTTTCATTTGACCACGTTGCGATTGGTCCACCCACTCACAACCCCCCGGTGCAAAGAGTTTGTCCACTGGAGCAGCCAATCAGATATCTTTATTTAAAGCCCATTCTACAATAGCCGTAAAAGTATGCGTTAAGACGTAAGCAGTAAGCTATTAATTAATAGGATTTTTACAATCCAAGAATGATCGACTGTAGTTGGTCAATTTTTACTGCTTACGTCTTATGCATACTTTTACGGCTATTGTAGAATGGGCTTTAATCAGTCAATTGGCGACGTGGTCAATTGAGTCTCACTTGTTGGTAAATTATCAATTATACGAAAGGGTAAAAAATCGATATAATTTTTTAGCGCGTTATTCTACAGGTGTACGTTCAGGAATTACGCTTAGGCGCACCTAGGTAACTCTAATGCTACACTGTAGCGTGATGTAAACTATAGCTTACAGTTAAGGTCTTGGCACATAGAAAAACTTAAGCAAGTAAAACTCAAGCAGTAAGCAAATCAGCCAATCACAGTCAAGAACTTAAGGCACAGCCCTAAGCGGTAGCAAATCCATACTGTTGATGTCTTAAGCGGGGAGCACACACTTCTCTCAAAAAATTGATTGGTCCATACACATGTGCATAAGAAAATAGACCAATCAATTTTCTTATGCTTACGCATTATGCGTTATACAGAAGTCTGCGCTCCCCGCTTTACTGCTTAAGTTTTTTCTATGTGCCAAGGCCCTAATCTCATCTTGTGTATGTATGTATGTACATAAAATCGTCTTAAGTCTAGTGTTACATGATCTCAATTTTAAACTGACCTCGCACGATCTATAGTTCGTGTCGGAATTCAATTCTATAACTTCATATACCTATGTACCAAGTAAAAAAAATTGAAATCAGTGTACACACACACGGGCATAAAATATATCTATTAAAATACACGCGCGCATGAAAATTATATTAAAAAATACAACGTACGTGAGAAAATTGTCATAAAAAAAATATTGTAAATAGAAATGCGTTAGATTTTTATCCTGCCACGTGTTCAATTTTTCTTACACGTCTGAAATTTGTGAGCTTCAAATTTGACTCAAAAATCTATCTTACATAAAAAATGTTTTATCGGTGGACCCTATTATTAATGTCATTTCAAAAATATTAATCTCTAGAGTTAATTCTATCAATAAAATTAGATTTTTTTTTACAAAAAAAAAAATTAGAATGGAACTAAAATAGAATTAAGCAAAATTTAAAGCCCGTATAATTTCAGAATATAAATCATTTATTTGTACTTAAAGACCTTTGCCAATAGGCCTGTTCGTTTTAGCTGAGCTTCTTGCGCAGTTTATCTTTTCTCTTTTTCTCTCTAACGTGTTGAAGAAAAGAAAGGAAAAAAGATGAACCATGCGAGAAGTTCAGCTAAAACGAGCATACCTATAGATAATGCAAAATTAACAGTAAAAAAAAAATAGAAGCAAAAATAATCTAACTTCAAAAAAGCAGAAGATCGAGAATGCGTTAGAATTTCATTGAGTTGGAAAAATTTACAAAAGCCAAAGGAAGATGTTCTTCTCGAAGGCACGAAAAAACGTGTAGGCGGAACGAGACGCTAAGCTTAAAAGAAAAAAAAATTGGGATATACTTACGTTCGCGGCTTTTCCGCGCAAACGCACAGGCTTACATAGAAAGCTGAAGCAACCGGCAACATGCAAAACACGGATGCAACTACTGCAACTTCCGTTAAAATATCGTTTCGCAGGTTTTAGTGATTTGCGACAAATGTATCCGAGGCTCGAGGTTCACGCGTGGGTCAGACGCACGCTGTTGGAAATAGGTTAGGGCGGTAGCTGAAACGGAAAGATTCCAAGATTTCTTTAAGTACGGAAAAAAGAAACGCGAGCACGAGCGAAGAGAAAAGATATTAATGTTGTCTGCGAAGTTTTATCCGTTTAGTCTTACCTGGCAACGTATCTCTTTATGAAAATGGACAATTTCACGTGCCGCGTCGTCGCCCTGCCGCGGTTGCCGGTCGCGCAATCACAATCACCGTATATCCTCGGATCTCGGATCGGATCCTTCCTTCCACCTTCTTTTTGCTTCTACCAGTTCAAGACCAAGAACGGTATATGGTGCTCTGATGATAAAACTTCAGCAGACCTCTATGGCGTATTCTTCTTGAAGGAGAAACGAGACGCCAACGAGCCTCCACGCAACGCAACGTCGAGAGAGGGAGGGAAAATTAGACAAGAATGTGCTTAACTTACAACCATATTTTAAGCGGATTGATAAGACAGATATTAGAGATTTCTACCTTCCTTTATCTGGCGATCGGCGAATAGCAAAAGTAGAGATTATTCAAAACTTTTGAATACGTGAAGCAGGGCTATAGCAATATCGGCCTATCTCCTCAAGTCCCCACCGCAGCTTGCCGACACGTTTTCTACTTAAAACTGGTGCAACACTGGTGCACAATGAGTGCAGTTTTAAGGCCTATTCGTTTTATGTCCATGCCATTTCTAATTTTAAGAATTAGAAAAATATATCGATGATGACATGCATATAAAAAGTATACCGAGATTAAAGTTAATCCATATTGGTAGAAATAAACATTAGCTTGTTGTACAGTTCATCTTTCTTCTTTTTCTCTCCAACGCGAAAAGAAATAAAAGAGGAAAAAACCTGTGCAGGAAGTTCAATTAAAACGAACAGGCCTTTATATTGTTCCAATGTAAAAATCAGTTTACATTTTTTTTTAGTGTGTTCAACGTTCTATTGATAAAAATTTGTCAAATTTTGAAATAATATTAAAAAAGTTGAATAATAAATTTTTTCAGATAAAAATTACGAAAGTGAAGAAATTCCCTATATAAGCTACAATTTCATTTGTCGAAATCTAGTAAATCTGTTCACTTTTGTTAAGTCTTAAGAACTGCGTCCAAGTTTTGATTTAAGCCAATCAACTTGCAGCTCTTACAGAAAAGTAGCAGTTTCATTGGCTTAAACCGAAACTTGGACACAGTTCTTGCATCGTGGACACCGGGCTTTATAATCACCCCAGGAACGCCAATGCGAGTACATACAAGTGCATTGGTTTCAAAATCATATATTATTGTGTGTTCAAAATGCGCGCATTTAAATGTGTAATTAATGCAAATTGAGCATTTAATTTATAAATGACAGGTTTTAATATAAAATATTTAAATGAGTATAAGCTTCTGACTCATTATGAAACATTTTATTTAAGTTTTTAATAAGAATTAATGTTCTTAAAAGTCATTTGGAAGTCAAGATGACGTCAAAAATAATCATTTTTAGAAAGTCAAGATGATAATATATATCATTCGATATGTTTTTAATGAATCATAATTTGACTTTTTTATGACTATATTTTGACCTTTCGATGACTTTTGTCGAGAAAACACGAATCGTTCGCACGTGCAAAATAAATTAAAACCTCGCAGGTATAAATATTTTACGAATTTGTGAAAATATTTCATTTTTGAAGCATTGATTTTTCATTCAAAAGATACAGAATAAAGCTCAAAAATATAAATCTCACTAAATATTGTATATGTATATATACTTACGACATATTTAAAATCTTGTGAATAAAAAATCAGAATGCTTTAAAACATTCACTACATAATTCATAAAAAATAATATCTGGGGCCCGATTCTCTAACGACAAACGTATGCGTAAACTCGGCTCTAACAGAAAAACTGCACACTTATTGGCTACAAACTGTGCGAAAGCCAATCAATTTGCACCCTTTCTGTTAGAGCAGAGTTTGCGCATACGTTTCTCGTTAGAGAATCGGACCCCTGAGGTTTTGTAAACATGGGCAATGCTTAAAAGCTGGGCACGAAGAAAAATTCCAATATAGTACAGAGTTCACTATATAGTTGTCCGATTAATTGGGCTCCTCCATCAATGATGAGCGTAGGTGCACTTTTTGGTATGCGCTTCCATAATTATATGCATTAAATGCGCATATAATATATATGGGGGACAAATACCCGCATTTAATGCAAAGTTTAATGTACATTCAAAGCGCATATTATACGCAATTCGCGACCCAATCACATTTTATGCGCGTCCATAACAGCAAATAGCAATGCGATTGGATAATTTTCTTTATGCATATAGATCTTAATTTTCACCGTCTGAAAAATTTCATTATTGTTTCGTCTAAGTTTTTCTGAAAAAATGTTCCAATTCGTATAAAAAAATCTAAAAAATTCTGAGAAATTCTTGAAATTTTTATAGAAATTTTGATTAATAATATAAAAAATTCTGAGACATTTTTTCATCAGGCTTGAGAACTTTTCCCCTCAATATATAGTAGGTGTCTGTATAGTCACAGATTAATAGAAATCTGTGATATAGTTCCCTCGACATGCATATATTTCAGTGCTTTATACTATTATATAATCAATATAGTTATGATATTTAGACAGAAAACATTCATCTTGGGCATGCTCTGATAAGCTTACAAATTATATATATAATACTTTATTATATATTATATAAGAACAATACTAGAAATAGTAATAAGATTTATTATTATATTTCGTGGTTGTATATATATATAAAATATATTTACCCTGCTGTTTCAATTCTAATAATGATGGCTGTTAACAATAACAATGATCACAAGGATCTAAAAAAAAATAACATTTTAAAATATTGAATTTTTGTGTTTTATCTTTTAATTTTATTCCCGGAGTAATATATTATTTTCATAAAAAATAGCTAAATTAAAATAAAGAGATATACAAACTTTAATTTACAAAATTAGTAAGATTAGATTTATTTCTTCTAGTTACTAAATTATTGATTTACCAATTTATCTTAATATATATGATACGCTATTAATTTAAAATAAAAATATATAAAAAAGTTTATATTTAAAAAGTTGATTTTTTCCATTTTTTTTAAATTCCTGCTTCTTATAAAAATTAAATAAAAATTAAATAATTATGTATATAAAAATATGTGTATATAAGAATATAAAAGATAGAAGGAACGTAAATAATTATAAGATCGTTATCTTTCGGATCTAATTTAGATTAAAAATATGGAACTATTCCTGTTTATTTTTTTTTTAATTAGCTTTCATATAGCGAGACAATAAATTTTTGTCAGTCTCTTTAATTTCGCAGACGTCTTTGAGATGTCTTATTCTTTTACTCTCCATTCGTATCAACGTGAAAATTATTTGCGTAATACGAGCGTAGACGCTATTAACAAATGCACGTGCTTAAAATAATGTCAATGACCTGGATTATCTTCAGGCACTCGTATTATCATCGTTTTAAAGCACTTGGATAACATGGAGAATAAAGCAACGATGAAGAAGCAATTCTCTTTTCGGGCCGTCACGAATAAAACTTTCAATGTCAATATATATTTTTCTTTTTTATAGGCAATTTGCTCGTAAACTTTCAATATTTTAAAACCAACATTAAGGGACATATAAAGAGACACGCCACATAGAGCATGCAAGGTTTCATCGCGGACATCCTGAAGTTTATTAGGCTTCTTTTGTATCGATTTTGCAGGCTTGATGCAAAATATATATATTTATGTGTCAGGTAAATTTGTAGTAAAGTACTCCTACGTGAATTCTAATTTCGAATCTTACACAGCGTATTCATTCTATCATATAATTGCCTAAGTTATTGGTTTAAAAGAGTTTGCTCGGTATAAACATTTGATTTTTATTTTATGTAGCTTAAATTTTTGTTTTAAATCAACTACTTGTGAGCTTATGGACTTGTAGGCTTGATGGCAGCTATCAGATATGTCGTTTTAATCAATAATTATATGTCGAATTTGGGAACAGGCCCGTTGGCCCCTTTTGGTAAGATCTATATGACAATTAACAACAAGATTGTTATAACAAGTGTTCTTATCTGATGGGCATGTCCGTCGACTGCTTCTCCTCTTTAAAGACTTATTGTGAAGTGAAAATGTCAATACAATTATGTACGTCATATACATTCAATATTCAATCCAGGCAATCAAAAGATCAAGGAACATGTCTGAGAATGTAT